GTTTATACTGATTGTGTTGAGGCAGTTAAATTGTGTGTGAATGGTGGGGAAGAAAGGCGCCTGTCATTTGACAAAGTGTACATGCTATGAGCGATATCGAGCAGTCGGGAGTGGCGGACCGGAGGGACGCCGACGACCGACTGCGAGATGAGAGAGTTGTTACATCTTTTGTGTAGTTCTAATGACAAAAGTACAATGGGAAGAAAATCAGCCGAGCGTTCAGCGCGAGTACCCGACCAGCGTTACTGGTGATAAATTCACAATAAATAAAGACCTTTTATATCCTCACGTTTGTTTTACAAAGACAATAAACTATTTTATTTGCGAAAGTTAATAAATAGTTGAACGGAAAAGGTTTTACCGTTTCATCGTAGGTGAAGTTGCTAGATTGATTCGCCTCATTAATAGCACACGCAGACAGTATATCTGTCTTCCACAGTCGAGGGCGAAGTGAGTCAGCACGACGAACGCTACTTGTGAATTTGTTATCGGTTTTATTTGATTGACTATTTGTTGGCAAATTCAACCTATCTGCTGATGTTATGTTCACTTCGCAATCGGACAAAGCATTCGAATTCGCAATGGATTTATCAATTGTCTGCTGTTCTGTTGATTTAATATCAAACATGTCTAAATGATCTTCGAATGGAGCAATCAAGTTAACTGCTAATGTTTTTTCAAATTGACAATTTGGTTGACTATTCAAGTTTTCAATCGAGTTATCGTTGGACATATCGGATTCATCTACGGTTGACACAATCAAGTTATTCAATTCGAGATTCGATCGACTATTCAATTTTTCGATCGATTTATCGATAGATGTGTCAGGATTATTTGCAGTTGACAATCTGGTGACTAGTATGTCAAGGAAAGGTAGGCAATTATGATTCTCTTCTTCGAATGTGAATACTACATCATTATCGAAACTGTTAAGTATATCAACTATCTTGTCAACATTGGCATGTTTCTCAACCATAGCAAACGGGTCGTCAACATAGCGCTTCCAATACAACAGACCATTTCGTTTTAGCCGTGGCAACAATCTCTCCTCCAGATAATTGACATATATGTCAGCAAACAAAGGTCCCAGTGGAGATCCCATTGCAATACCGTTGGTTTGTGAGTAGATGTTATCGTTGAATATGAAGTTGGTTTCTTTTGTTGTTGTTTCAAGTAGATATTTCATCTCGTATCTATTCTTGCAAACACTACACCAGTCATCGCGTTTAAGATCACTGTATGTACAAGTATGTTCCGGTCCGTACATTTTATCGAGAATTAATTGTATGGTACGATTTAGAGGAACTTTAGTAAATAAACTAGTGATGTCGAATGAAATTAGTTTTATTCGAGAATTGTCAAATTTTAACGTACGTAGTTCGTCGACAAAGGTGAATGTATCTTTGATGATTGAATCGCTTTTTCGAAGATGATCCAATTTGCGGGTCAACAACTTTGCAAGTTTATAGTTGAAAGTGCCTGAAGCCGAAACTATAGGTCGAAGAGTTGCTCCTGCTTTATGTACTTTAGGCAGACCGTAGACACGTGCTGGCTGTGAGCCTCTTGGGCGACAGAAATTGAATTCTTTTTCTGTTATGAATCCGTCGTTTCTTAATTGTTTCAATTTTCGTATCAATTTATCTTCTTGCGCTATAGTCTCATCAACTTCTAAAATCTCGAACGTGTTACGATCACTAAGAATTTCCAACATCTTATTATTGTAATCTTCTTTGTCAATTATTACGATTCCTTTGCCTTTGTCAGGCCGTGTAATTAAGATTGATTTGTCTTTGTAAAGATTCTTCAAGATACTTTTGAATTGAATAGATTCGTTTTTCTGTTTTTTTATTGCTTTATCGGCACCGTGACGAAAAGTGTTACAAACAGATCGTATTCTGTTAGCAAATTGTAATTGAATCGGCATCAAATTATATTTTATCTACTCATCAACATCTTTGTCTTCATAATCTCTTTTATCAGTACAATGGCCCAACAATTCAGCAAAAAAGGTTTCAATGTTGCTGATGAATGTCATTTCGTCGAATTTATCAGTTGGCAATACAAAATTCAAACCATTTTCCAAAATACTTATTTCTTTATCAGTTAGAATCCGTTTCGATAGATTAGTTATTCGTGATAACGTAGATTTGTTTGATTCATTTGCTGGACGTTGTTTATTACGGAACTTATTTAACTTCTTCTGATGGTTTTCCTTAATCTCTAGTTCTTTTGATGCTACGATTCTATGAATAATTCTCATTAGAGGTTGATAAAGGCAATAATTTCAAAAGAAATGTGTAAATAACAGCGAGTTGGANGTTGCTTTCCACGAACATAGGTGACAGCTATTTAAGGTTCCCCGTGGTGGAGAGAAGATTGAAACCTTTTCCAGAGAATCATATACCTATGTAAAGCTTATAAGTTTTTGATTATAAATTGATTTTCCGAAATGTGCTCATTTTCGGAACGCGTCTTCGTCCGAATGAAGTTAAGATAGTAAAATGAGTACGCATGGGAACAGCTACCCGTGAGTGGCCAACCGAACGGAGGCTGACGAACGAACAGCTGTTTCTTTTGAATTTTAGTTGAAAAGTGACATTTATAAGACTGTCGCATAGTGACCATAATTTTTCTAAGGTATATAGTATATAGTATATATATATATATATATAACGTCTTTTCGAGCTGCGAGAAAAATATGTAGATCACCAACTCATTCAACTAAAAATCATGATAAAGGATATACTGTAGGTCACGAAGTTGTGAACAATTTCGGCAACCTTGCTAGAGACGGACTCAACAAGAACGAGGTACTTTTTAATATGAAAATATCATTAAACACTTATTAGGTGCCAACGGCTAGCGGTGAGTGGTTGACCGAAGAGAGGCCAACAAACGACTAGACGTTATAACCTCAGAAGATTTCACGAAGCGAAATTGGTCTAAGTAAAACATTCTGACAAATTATCAAATGATCAGATCGTTCAACTGAAATAACATTTTTCTCTCTTTGGATGAATAGTGGCTTTCTAATACTATCCTTTCAGTAGAGGGTTTAGCGGCTACTGGGCCGCGTTACTTGTTGATATGTGCTAATATATTCTTGATCATTGTTTCGTTGAATCGGTGATAAACATATCGTATCACTTCGAAGTCATACCGTCTCGCTCGTTTTTTCATGTTCTTCCGTTGAGTTCTTTTCAGCTGTCTTGTTGTTGTTATTTCCGCTTCGATTCGCTCGACGATTCCTTGCTGTTGGTCATTGTTCATGATCACCATGTCGGCTTCATTTGCAGGTTCATATTCGGCATGAACCCCAAATGATTGTTCTGGTATCGTGAGTTCAGGAAGTTCATCCATATGCACCTCCTTTTGACCATCGTCTAAATAAACGAAATTTTCATGTGCCTGTGAAATGGAATTACCGTCGAATGCATATTCGATGTCTTCAGGATCCGTGGTCGGTGGTGGTGTAAATTGTGTGTGTGTTGGTGCATGTATTTCGATTTCGTACGTTTGTTCATCGTCGATTGTTTGTTCGGAGAGGTATCGATTCGTTGCTTCGTGCTCATTGATATCGATGATCTCGTTCGCAAGCTTGGTGACGGCTAAGCAGTCGTTCAATGAGTATTGGATGAGGTGCTGTCGATATTGTTCTTCGTCATGCAATATTTGTTGGCGAAGATGATAAAATTGTTCGGGTATTGTCGCGGTTTTTAGTTCTGGATCAAGACCACATCCAAAGTCACCGAGTGTGAATCTCTTGGTTAACCACTCGTTGTAAATGCTGTGAATCGCGTGCTGGAGTGAATACTTCTCATTCGAGTTCATCTTCATATCAGGCGAATATGAATAATTTGCGTGGTAATATTCCTTGAATTTGTCTTGGATATTCCGTTCGTTCACTTGATCGATGTCGCTTCGATTGAATAATTCGAACCGGTAAAACTTCGCCAGCTCATCCTTGATTCCTCCCCACAGGAGAATTTGGTTGTTTCTTGCGAAAATATGCTTGAATATTTGTTTGATCTTCTGAAATTTCTCTTCGTGTTGTTGAGGTAGGAACAATGTTTCGACCAAAATCAAAATTGATGGCCGATCCTTGTAAACAAACTCAACCTGAATCAGAGCAGGTAGAGATGATTGGGAAGGTCGTGTTTGATCTTCTGTGTCGATCGTAAATACCGTCGTTTGCTGTGAACGTTCAATCAATTCGTGAAGAACTTCATACGATGTACATCTGTTCACGAAATAAAATTGGTACTGCGAAAGTGGATCGAAGATGTGACACTTCCCTTCATTGTGTATGCGTTCGAGTCGATCATCCTCGGCTGCTCGCTTGGATTGCCACGATCGGGTTCTCCGATCTAATCTTTGTTATGGTGAGATGTATCGAGGCGAATGACCGGTTGACGATCCACACGAGTTCCTTGTTGTCATTGTATAATTGTTCGATCAGTTGACGATGATATTCGATAATCCAGCGAAATCGACGATAAGTTGACGATGATGTTCGATAATATCCAGCGAAATTGACTGACGATGGTGTTCGACAATATCCAGCGAAATTGACTGACGATGAGTTGACGATCCAGATGATCTAGAATAGACAGATGTATACCTACGCAGGAATCTGTTAAGACTCCTCTCGAAACGTCGTGTATCATACATGAACCCGATTGAGGTTCATTTTCCGTTGTTTATTTATGTTGATCTCCTTATTTTCCCAAAACTTGATCCAGTGAATGATTCATTATAATCTGCTGACCAATCGTTCGCAGATTTTCACGTCAAGAGACCCTGGAGATGGTGTGTGACAGAACGAAAAAAATTGTGTGATGATAAGTATATTCTAAGAGAAGATATAGAGCAGAACGGGACGATTCCCATTGGACGTTTATATTCTTATACTGATAGATCGTGATTACAAATAGTTTTGGAGAAAAAACACGTATCGTGTAACTGTAACCATATGTCCGAAAAAAAAAGAAATAGAAATGACGATAAGGAAGGGAAAGTGAGTGTGTGCACCGACCGTGTCAGTAACCACTTAAAAAAAGAAAGAGATAATGGAAAAAAGAAATCATATTTTGACTAGAGATAGTTACATGTTCTTGCGTTCGCACAATGGTCGGAGAACGTCGATTGTAACTCGTTGTGTCAACATGTGTTTTTTCACGTGTTGGACTATAAATGTCTTTTCGCCAAGCTGTTGCACGACGCGAAAAGGTCCTTCGTACCGAATGTCGAATTTATTTCGGAAGTTGGACACTTTAACTAATACCAGATCGTTGATGATGTACTTCGGATTCATGCGGTACTGGTCATACCGGTGTTTGTATTTCTGCTGTTGTTGTTGAATGTTGTCCCGAGCGTCGTTCGTTAATGATGCTAAGTATCGTTTGAGTTTGTTGACGTGGTTGGGATCTTCGGCGATACTGACCATGGATTCATGTTGATCAAATGGTAACACAGGTGTTCGGCCACACATCAGTTCGAAAGGTATGTGTCCTGTTGTTGTATGGATGCTGGTATTGTAGTTGAACGTAACGAACGACAATTGTTCATCCCAATTGGTCCTATTGGCGTTTGATAGTGCTGCTATCTTTGAATCCATGGTAGCGTTATATCGCTCAATTTGACCGTTTGTCATTGGATGATATGGTGTGGAATATAACTGTGTAACACCCATCTTTTTGAATAAATCCTTCATCATTGCCAATGTGAAGTGTGTTCCGTTATCCGTCAATACACATTTTGGAGTGCCACATTTGAGTATTGCTTCTTCGGTGATAAATCGTGCGGCCGTTGCTGCAGTGCAATCGCGTACTGCTTTAGTGATGACGAACTTGGATAACACATCCGTCAATGCGATGATGTATTTGTTTCCTCGTTGTGTAGACGGTGTGATGGGTCCGTGAAAATCCATAGCCAGCAATTGTCATAGTCCTTCAGGTGGTTTGATCGGCTTCAAGAGCCTTGGAAGTTTTTGTCGATGATGGTTGTTCTGTAGGCACGGTATGCAAGACTTAATGTGATTTCGTATGTCGAGATGCATGTTTGGCCAAAAATATCGCTGTTGGATCTTGTGAGTGGTTTTGTTTCGACCGAAGTGTGCTCCGTTCGCCGGTGTATCGTGATAAATTTTTATAATATCCGCTCGTATCCGCCCCTTCGGTACGAATGGAACGGGTGGACATGATCTTCTCATCATCATATTGTCTTGCATAAAATAATCTTTATAATCTTCGATATGTTCGATGATGTGTTTTGTTTCGTCCAAAATATACTGCTGTTCTTGGAGTTCGCTTAATGTAAATGATTGTATCTTTCCTGTGTCATAATCGCTGTTTTCCGAGTTTGTCTGCTGTTGTTGGATCCAGGAACGTTCGATTGGTGAATCGCCATTCCTTTCAGTTAATACGTCCGAGCAGGCCTGATCGTCCGAAGTACGATCAATCCTTTCATGGTGTCGCTGTTGTTGTTGTACTTGCGCTCGAGTCAATACAGGTGCGATCGTCAGTGTTCGTGTTAGCTCTTCGGTTTGTGTACTTTGAGATTTTACTGGTGCGTAGTCGTCTTCGTCGATTGCTGCATCTTCATGTGGCGTTCTGGATAGGTAATCGACGACCGTGTTGTGCTTCCCTTTTATGTACTGTATGGTGAAGTTATATTGTTGTAATTTCAGTCGCCATCATTCGCATTTTGCGTTCAATTGTCGTTTTCGGTTAAAAGGTAGAAGTGGCTTATGATCCGTTTCGATTGTAAATGGTCGACCATCCAAATATTTGTGCCATTTCTCGATCGCGTATATAATCGCGTAGCATTCTTGTTCCGTTGCAGGCCAGTTCATTTGTGTGGTTGTAAACTTCTTCGATATATAAGCGACCGGCAGATCCCCATTTGCGTATGTTTGCATGAGCACAGCTCCTATTCCAATCTTCGAAGCGTCAGTCTGGATCTTGAATGGCCGACGCTCATCTGAAATACGTAATATTAGGTCTTCGGTTAAGATACGTTTTAATTCTTGAAATGCATTGAGTGCTTCGTCCGTTAATGTAAATTGTTCGGTAACTGCTCCCTTTGATCGTTGATCCTTTGCTACAGGTGCGTACTTGTAAAGTGGTTCGGCGATCATGGAGAATCGTGGTATAAATTTCCGGTAATATTCGGTGGCTTTGAGAAACCGAAATGCTTCTTTCGCTGTTATGGGTTGTGGACATTCTCGTAGCGCTCTGATGTTGTCGGCATTTGGACGAATACTGCTGCGCTCGATGTGGTGACCAAGGTAGTCGATTGCCGTCTTCGCTATCTGACATTTGTTCACGTTTAGCCGAAAATTTGCGTCATTCAGTCGGTTGAGAATATCGTCGAGGTGGATAAGATGTTGATTAAAGGTCGTTGAATAGATGATGACATCGTCGAGGTAAGCTAATGAATATTTCCATCGAGCGGGACCAAGAATTTGACTCACGATGCGTTGAAATGTTGGAGCGCCGTTCGTAACACCCTACGGTAACACTGTAAATTGATAGTGTTGATCACGGGTGGAGAACGCAGTTTTTGGACGATCCTTCGGGTCAAGCCCGACTTGAAAATAACCGGATTTGAAGTCGATGGCGCTGTAATATCCTGCTTTTGATAAATGATCAAAGATATCATCGATTCGTGGCAGCGGAAATGCGTCTTTGGTGGTGATGTTATTCAGTTTTCGAAAATCGATGCAAAATCTGACTGATCCATCTTTCTTGCGTACTAAGACGATGGGTGATGACCATGGAGACTTTGATTCTTGAATTATTCCTTGTTGTAGTAGTTTATCAATTTCTTCTTTCTGAATTTGTTCATCCTTGTATGATACGCGATATGGCGGTGCATAGACAGGTGGATGTGTACCCGTTTCGATTGCATGTCTAGCCAATCTTTTGATAATCGAAGGTTGTCGGAGGTCGTATAATTTCCCGTACTTCCATAGAATACGTTGGAGCTTTTCTCGTTGACTTTGATTTTCGATGTGTATCGTTAATTTTTCGATCTTCTCGCGAATGTCTTGTGGATAGCATTGATCGCGTAGATGTTGTTGTAGGCCGTTTCGTGATAGGAACTGTTGTTGACAGACATAACATTGATGTTGTTCATGCACGTTCGATTGTCTGTTTCGACAGGCAAAGTCCGTATTCGGGACCTTCCTCTTGTTGTTCGACAGTAGATAGCAGGACCGCTTCGATAATGGAGCATTCCTCTCGTTTACATTCGAAAGTGTCGCCGTCTGTGCATGTTCCTGGTGACTTGCGGGTATAGTTAAGACGAGATGATTGATGGTGTCAGATTTGCTGGATGCGTATCCCAATTTGGTATTTCGTGATAAGGTCCGTCGCTGATCACTGCCATTAATTATCATTATCTTGCTTCGTTGATTTTCGACGGTGAGTAACGCGTTGATCGGGAATATCTGCTTTGAATAGAAGTGTGGATCGGGTTCGAAGATGATTTCATCTGCAACGTTCCTTGGTGACGGAATGTTTATATCGATGTAAACTTCCGAATACGGTGGAAGTGTGATATCTTCGGTAAGTAGTACTGATGTTTGAAGATCGTGCGGTTTGAGAAAGAACGCGGTGGCTTTGATTCGACGATGGTGATCGGTTATATGTATGCATCGTTGCGGTGAATCGATGATGACATTGTTATTTGTGATCCAGTCGTTCCCGAGCAGCAGGTCGATTATCAAGTTCGTAGCGACGTCGGCAAAGATGGTAGTCTTGTGTCCTTGAATCCTAACTTCGAGCTTGATTTCACCTATGATGTTGATCGATGTACAGTTTGCGGACCGATGGGATTTTTTCGTGAGGATTAAGTTCTTGTGGTAAATTTTCTTCAATAGCTGTTGGCTAATGATGGTAACGGCTGATCCGGTGTCGATGATAGCGTGTTGTTTTCTGTTGTTGACTTGGACATTGATAAAGATGGGAGTTGATGATTGTATTGGTGTTGAATTGATGGTTGATGGATTTTGTGTTATGTTACTGGAATCACCACCATCATGGGTTCCAGTTAGCAGAAAACCGCCGGGCAATCACGTAGTCGATGATCAGATCGCCCGCATTTGTAACATCCGGATGGTTTTTTATAATAGCAGTCGGCGTGTCGGTGATTACCCCGGCCGCATATGCGACATGTACTTCGCGTGTAACTACCATATGATGCTTGAGTCGTGAAATTATTCCGGGTTTGTGTGTCGGATGTCCCATGCTTCTTCCATGCTGATGAACGTTGTTGTGTTAATGTATCTTGTGTTCGAACGGAAACATGTTGTCGTGCGCCTGTGTATCCGTATCGTCGTCGACCATCGGGCTCTTCTTGCGCTGCATTTGCTTCAGATGATGGAAGAGATTGTGTTGTGCCCGACGAAGCCAGTCCTGGTTTTGGTAATGTGGCTGACACTGTGTCAGTAAAATAAGGAGTGTATGTCGTTGTTTCGAGTGTGGAGACGCTTTCATGCTGTAATTCTTGTTCAGCTTTTGCAATCTTCAAGAATGTCTGTGCTGTGCGTGCTGTTTCTGCTAATGATTTCATCTGACGTTTGACTGGAATCTTCAAGGTTTCATATAATCCGTTTTCCAACCATGATATGATCATCTTTTGCGACACCGTCGGGTCGTACTCGTGGCATAATTTAATGACGGTATCATAGTATGAAGTGACCGTTTCTTCGGGTTTCTGTTTCCGTTCTTTGAGCTGTTCAAACACTTTGGATGATGAATCGGTAGTTGTGAATCGTTCGACTAACGCTGGTTTCAAGGTTTCCCATGTATCCAGCGTCGTGTTGTTGTCGTACCACCGTTTCGCTTCACCATCGAGCTTTGCTGTGCACATCGAATATAGAATATCGCCCCGCGCGTTAATCATTTTTCCAATTCGTTCGATGTAGTGGATGAATTGTGTTGTCTTTCTCTCGTCACTACCGTTGAATTTTTCGAGATTTGATAAACATTCTCGATAACATATCATCATGGCTGAATCTTGTGTACTGGTCATTATTTCTTCTTCGTTAGGTAGGGATGCCACTGTAATTTTCCTAACGACACGTTCCGATGTTTGTGTCAGTAAATCACCGGTTAGTTCCGGGCCAGCAGTGTGATGACGTAGTGGATAAGCCGTTGTTTAAGATCGACGGTATATACTACCTGAGCTCCTCCCAGACGGTTCGTTTACCGAACCTTCTTTTTAAAACTGGAGATTGAAAACAGACAGTTTCAAAGAAACTACCTCTTAAATTATTTGTATCGCGTGCGTAGCTGACGGACGTCGTTTGTTTGTGGTTCGTATCTTGTTATGTGGATGTGTATATAACAAAATAGTCGGTCACGGCACCAATGTTAGGAGGATACGAAAGAGAAAGAAAATCGATATCGAGTGAGAGAGACGGTTGGTCTCGGATCGTTTATTGAATACGAACAGAAATGTGAACAATAGAAAGAGAAGGAGAAGATCCGAACCGCCATCAAGATGAATCTATGGCTATATATATAACTAGGGAACAAAGAGACAGACGAGATGATATCCTAAGATATCATCTTAACAATGGTTTAAACACCTCGAGAAGAAGAGCCTGGAAATGTGAGGGTTTAACCCGTAACACTTCCATTTGAATTCGTTGATAGAAATAAATTGATGTTGGACAGGAGCTTTGAGGACGCATATATATTTCGCTGGATTCTGTCAGGACAGAGTTATAAATCGACTGTATATCCGGTAAGATAACTATTTAAGGGACAGAAAGTAAAAATGAATGTAATTTTACACTTATTTTATAAGACTAGCCACCTTTATCACGAGAGAGTAACACGAAAAAAAAATGGAATTGTATATTTCTATGTATGAATGTCAGTGATGAACATTCGAAAACTGAATAGATTTTTTTCGAATTCTGATACAACTCGTATTAGTGTTTGGCAGTTCCAATGAAATACTCAAATACTAAGTGAAAAAGAAGATGATGATGATGTTGTAATGCATAGAATAATATGCGCTACGTTGCTGTAAACTTTGTTTCATTCGTGATCATAAAGAGAAATTAAAAGAGTAGCGTTACTGCTATCGTCAGTATAAGAAAAATGATAACCAAACACTACATTATAATCTCAATTATGTTTCTGCAACATAGAGCACTCGCTTGATATATGTGCACAAGTGAGTCACAATATAGAATGCTTTTAAGATTACATAACATTGTTTCAATCTAACTCGAATAAACTAGTCAAATAATTTGCTAATGTTTTAATGATTCTTGGTCTGTCTATAACAAGAACGAGAAATAGTTCAACGATGGAAAATTGACATTGAAAATACAAAAGGGCATAGCTTATTGGTGCAGTATTGACTCAGATGGTGAGAATCACGTTTCCAAATACTTGTAATAGTATTTATGCAGATGAGTATTCGATAGATAAAGTTGCGAAGAAAATATTAACGTGTTAGAAATTCATAATGAAGATATGCATTTGATTGTCAGGTTAACTATATTGAATCATTGTAGTTGATTTGTTTCGATATCGACGAACTTTACTTTCATATTTGAATGATTACTAGTATATTTTTATATATTCTCTTATCTCCGAATACGACTCTGCAAGCTGACGTCTTACCTATGGTTCTATCAAAATAGTTTTATTTGTTACGAAATATCGAAAGGAAAAGTACTGGGTTTTAGATAATATTGGAGGTTTAATATATAATATCGATTGGCAAGAAGTGAAGGACGGAACGAACGATAACGAGAAAAAATGAGAAGCATTATTTGAATTATATCCGAAATCTCAAAATAAATCTCGAAGGTGAAAATTAGAATATTTATGCAACATGAGAAAACATACCTGGTGAGATATCTTGACTTTTTCCTTTTCTGACAAAATAGATAAGTAGAAAAATCGAGATTCCTAATATGAATGCCACGATTATTAGCACTAGAATGCATGTTACAGCCCGTCGCATGGTTCGACAGAGATTTGTGATAATGAAGAATAATTTGTGTTGTCAATGATGATATATATCGGATGTTACGATAATATTCAGTTGTTGAGAATGACCTACTATGAGATATATTCTAAAATGCACAGAACATATCCATTAATAGGCTAGCAAAGATGTTCATGTTGCAGAAAAAAATAAAAAAATGATGCTCATTTCTGTTTTGTTTTCTAATGCATATGATATTTAATTGTTTCTCTTTTAATTTTTCTGTGACGTAGATGTATTCTAGTTAAATAATTATACAACAAAAAAAGAACAAATTGAGTCTAGATTTGGAAGAATGCAACTATCATTTAATTTTTTTAATCTGCAACTTTCATTCTTACTGAAAAGTAAATATTCAATATTAAAAAGATGGATATATGATGTAGAAACACTTTTATGTTTTTAATTAAAAACAGTATTGAAAAAGAAATCGAGAGAAACAACACTGAATTACTTCTAAGTTGTTGAAAAGGATAATCGTCAACAATATTCATTGTGTTTACGAAAAATAACTACGAACATAGATAAAAATGAATTAGGTATTTTCAACATACAAATACAATGATACTGAGGGTGGGTTGGGGGGTGAGTGTGAGGGTGTGAGGGTGAGGGTGAGGTATGAGATAGCGTGGTAACTAGGGTTTTGGAACCCATGAGCAAACCTTCCACATTTCGAAAGAAAACACTGGCCAACTTTTAATCCAACAGGACAAAAGTTTTTAACTTGATAAAAGTTTAAAGCGTATTAAAAGCGCAACAATAGGAAGTGAGGTTTCTAGGTATGTACCAATACCAAAAATTTTGGTTTTGACATATTAGTACAAAGAGAATATTTTTAAAGGAACTAAATCTATCACATTTTGTCGCAAGTTTAAGTAGACTTTAAATACAGTAGGATATAATCGAAAAAAATGTCTTATTTTATGAATTATGTGTTGACAATAGTTAAGAGATCATTCAAACACCATCTATTTGTTCATTCTGTCGACTATAGGAAGGGTCATATGAAAAAAATAGTTTGTTTGTTTATCTGTTTGCAGGGAATCAAAGGTCAAACAAACTTTCACAGCAGATTTCAACGGCGCCCATGGGCCCTCGAATCGCAGCTCTCTAGTGCATTTTCAGGGTATTCATGAATCGTTAAATCGCGCATCTTGGGAATATCAATGGATCCTCAGGTCCTGTACGATGGAGGTACACGTGTCTCGTCTTGTGACGTGTTTTGGAGATATAGAGGAGTCATTAGTTTGCGTCGCGTTTCGAAGGTAGTGCATGAAACCTAAACAAAGATTTAAAGTGGTGCTTCCTTGGAAGATGCTAAGCTATGTCGTATAATCATTCACACAGAAAAAGATGAAAAATCAGTCGAATATACAGGATATCAGTGCGAAAAATGTGATGTTGGAGTACGTATAATTGACTGTTTCAAAGCTTATCATGACTTAAAGCACTTCTGATGATGTTTTTTAATTGAACAAACATCTGTTTCACTATTTTAACAAATGTAGCTTTTTCGGAAAAAACCCTCTAACAGAGGGTTAAGATGCACATGATTAAGGACACTTTCAGGGTACGGGTTTGCCATGTAAATAAAGCTCAGGAGAATTTATGGAAAGAAAGCAGAGAACGTATATATTAATTCGCAATCTATAACAAATCTTTTAATTTTTATGTAATACAAAGATCTATGATAGGATAGCTGACTATTAAAAACTGAGAAAAGGTTTGGGCAACAGCAGTCAACATGTACTGACACTTTATTCTTCTTCACTTTTCTTTTTCAATATACTATAGATCCAAAAGTCTTGATCTTACCTATTCAAGAATAGTATCTACAAACATACATCGATTTCTCTATTATATGATATCATTTTGTAAGACAAAGTTTTGTCTATACCTGATAAGAAAAACACCAGTTGCGAGTGTAAAATTCTATGTCAGTGTTATTGAAGCAATATTTATCATAAATGAAAAAAAACTTTTTTTTTATTTCTTTCTTTTTTTTTGAAAAAATCTCACCGTTCTAATTATATGATGTATTTCATTTACATAGTTTTTCTTTTCTAGTTAAGATTTATTATACTGATGAAAAACTCTCTTTTCTTTATGTCAATGACGTTTGTAGTTTTGTTCTCCATATTCTTAATCACAGTAATGGTTTCTATACATAAAAATATTTTTTTTGGAAAGAAATGGCGAAAAAATTGTTCTGTCGTTATAAGTTTTTTTTATCTAGCACGATCTACTCAAACGCTTCAATATATTGTAACATCTGGATCATTATTATTAGATATATTCTGAAGAAAAACTACGGTCGTCATTAGTAGAAAAAGAAACTTTTCATTTTCCTTTCGAAATATAATGAAAAAACTATTCATTTATAATTCCTGTAGTCATCACAATGATGAAGTGAATTTTTGTGCTAGAAATTTTACTGTTTTCTTTTCATTTATAGATCTAGTCCTGTCAAACTCGAAAATATCCTTATAGTATTTATCATTTTCCGACACTCACGTTCCTAACACACTTCAAACGATGGTATTCTATTGAACTTTCATAAAGATTCTATCGTTCTTTAAAAATTTACATACACAATATCAATTCTACAAAATCATAAAAAGATTTTCTCATGTAATGCTCGCGTTTGTGAGATCTTCAACATATCTGAAGGCATTAGCTTTTTTGGACTCGATCCAGGATGAATGAGAAGGAATCCACCGTGATCAGGATCGAGATTTCGGATGATTTCGCTGTATCCTAAACGCTTCAACCGTCTACTAGAGTTTAACAAAATATCACACTTCTCAGAGAAGATATCTTGCGAACTAGTTGTTATATGTTAGAGTATATTGGAAATCCATGTGCTGGAGGATATGATTTTGCGGCAAAGTTGCTTTTGAGATAAGCAATGAATTTGTGACAAAATGAAAAGATACATATAAAGGATGATATTTTTGTAGTTCAGGCCGGCTGAAGGCATAATGGAATTGGTGGTTTTCTCTGTGTTCGTGATTTAGGAAGGTTAGTGTCGTAGTTGTATTATTATTTTAATAGAAAATAATAACATTTTCATATTCACAAACTTGATGATCATCGTCGAAGGAAAAGAGAATATTTTGGATTAAACACTGATAACACTGAAAAATATTTGAAAACTGCAAAGAGTTCGACATATATTGAATTTTCAACCCTCATCTCGAAGTATAAAACGAAACTGTTATATCAGTGAAAAGAGTATTATGGCAAATTTATCATTTGTAGTGCCGCTTTCACTATGTTTCTGGAGTAGAAAAATAAGTTGTACTGTCTCGCAGATGAATCAAATCTATCGTGTTTAAAATCCGTAACTATGCTCCAGAAATCGTAGAATCGAACTATTACTATATCCAAACGTTTTTCTTCAAAAATCAACACATATACTTCGTTTTCCTGCTATTATTCTATCTGAAGTTTATTTATAAAAGTTCTTGTTGGTTGTACTTAGGGGTATCCAAAAGTAGTAAGTGAGGGACTTTTTTCCCTTTAGGAAAAGCATGAAAAGAATTCTTTTTTTGTCAATCGATAGAGCGTGTTTCGCTCTATTTTTTGTGTTATTTTTTTATTCCCTAACTCTTTACAACTTACTCAATTTTCGAGAAAAACCATTTTTTCGTGCTGCTCGCTGATAGCAATAGTCGATACTTTTGTCCACATGCATTTTTTTTCGTTTTTCATGTGTTTTTTCTCCTTCTTCTTATCGTGTCTGATGAGTCTCTCTCACCTATCTTCTACTCCAACAAAATCAATTAGAACGAAAGAAAAAACAAAAGAAAACGAATGAACCGAGTGGCGGTTTCAATAAATGTTCCAAGTAATCGCCATTGTTTTCCGCGCAAAGTTGCATTCTTTCGACCCATTTATCGAAAGTCTTTTTGTATTCACCTGAGTTAACGGTGTGCAAAAACTCGAGTACAGTATCATGTAATTCTTCGGACTTATCTTTGATCAATTAAATAACCAGAAATCACACGGTGATAAATCTGGAGAATTAGCTGGATGCTCTATGATCGTAAGGCCTTCTGATTCAAGAAAATCGGTAACATCTTTGTGCACGTGTGGTCGACCATTGTCATGACGAGTTTTGATCTCGCGAGTTCCATAAGGAGGTCTCTGAAAGTTTGATCTCGTCGATCAACACGATGGACTAACATGGGTGAGATAGATTTGAAAAAGATCGAAAATCAAGTTTTCGGTGTGAAACGATTAGCGCGAACGACAGTGGGCGGTGGATCTCCTTTTCTTATCCATGCTTCATTTGATACCTTTCGACCAATCTGCTTGTGATGGAACCGAGACCCATCCCCTCTGATCTAAGTTTTGCTTGCATATTCGAACCTGTTCGGTTTGCTGAAGACCGGTAAGATCTTTAGGTACATAGCATGCAGTTATCTTCCTAAGCTTTAGATGCTCCACGATTATTCGTTGCAGTGTCCCATACCTTAAATCAGTTTGTTCTTGAATATATTCTGTTGCCATGTGAGGATCATCATCAATAAGAAGCCGAACTTGTTCAATGTTTTCAATTGTTGTTTCAGTGATAGGTTTATCAGGTCGCACTTTATCTTCAGTTTCCTCTCAACCACCACAAAATAGTTTTGACCATCGTTCAATCGTGCTGAAACCAGGAGCTTCATCGCCATAAACAGACTTCACTTCATCATGGATAACTCTTGCCGAAATATTGAGTGCAGTTCGCATTTTTATGTAAAAGCGAAAGTTTCCAGTAGTGATTTGAAATGAGTGAAAGAGAGAGAGAGAATAAAGAACGGCAGAAGATATACGATGATCCATGGTAATTGAATCATAACACAGATGCATTCTTTCTTATATTTGTATGGAATCACGTGGAAAGAAATGATAAGAAGAACAATCAGAAAAGAATGATGCTTGGATGAAAATATTAGCTTCTGCTACCAGCGAGTTGTATGCAAATAGCTTTTTTCTCGAAATTTCACCAACTCACTAGGAGATGAGGACTTATCAAATAGCATAGAAAAATAGAGCGAAACAGACTCTATCGAATGGTATAAAAGAAACTTTTCTAGACCTTTGCTTAATGGAAAAATATATCTCCGTCACTACTTTTGGATTGCCCTAAGTATATATACTCACAGTTCGCTCATTGAAATATAAATCACTTGAACAGTGTCGAAGAAGATACAAATCACAAGATAGAATGCAACTTTATATTGTTATTATTCAGTAGGTTGAAGTATTGAATGAAAAATCTTGTGAATTCAATTTGAATGTATTTTCATGATTTATTTATTTATTTTTTACTAAGACAAAAAAAAGCTAAGAAATTGAATTATTCTTATTGAAGTTATGATAAAATCCCAAAACGCTTTCGCAATAAAGTTCGATATTGAACAACAGATTTTCGAAATTCTTTTCGATAAAATTTCGATGGTACAATAAAGATTACAAATGTGAGAACTGGTGAAATAAATGAAATAAAATATCCCATGAGATACAACCATACATCATTATTATTTGTCTTCATACATTTTGATACAAATGATATGATCAAACGTGGTATAGATAAAATAACTAAAACAACAGGCGCGATGAGTAAATGTTGATGTTGTCGACAATTTTTCATAAAAATTTTTAAACGTGTTTGTTTCGTCTCAAGATTTGATTGATTATTTGTTTTCTTAGTAATAAGAATAACAGCTGAAATGAAATTAAGAATAAAAGGAACAAAAAACTGAAAAGTATGTATTAATGAATTGTATATTTGTAATCTAGATGAATAAGTAACAATACACCATATTCGTTTTTCATAAGTATTATCGTGTTCTTCATGAATTATATGTCGATTAATAGGATCATGAATTGATGTCAGTACACAAAATATTAAAAGAACAATAATAACCTTTTTAGCAGAGTTTCTACTTTGATCTTTTTTAAAACGTACACCTTTTATAATAGTCATTGCTCGTTCACAAGCAACACATGCATTTAACCATTGATCCATATTAAGACAAATTTGTATGAAGAAATCTAACGAAATGCATTGAATACGAAGAAATACTTCATTCGATATCATCAACATTTGAGTGAAAATTAATATCCAGAATTTGAATGCAAAGATAAATACAATAAGTAAAGTTGTTATTGATGATCCTAATAGATATAAACCACAACCAACTTCACGTACTACTTTGTTTTTGAATGTAATCAAAGCCAAAATACCATTAATAAAACCAACTATGATAAAAATAATATTCAATACAATACTTACTTTAACAATATTTGTTTGATGTTGAATACCCATATTTAATCGAATATGATAACCTAAAATATTATCAAGTGTTAAACCAAATCCACTCGATGTAAATTGACATTTTTGTCCATAATAACATGATGAACAAAGACACATTGTTCTTCGTAAACATGAAAGTGAATCTTGAAAACATTGACCACCATTTTTACATGCATTTTGTCCTTCACAATCGAACGTCATACTATGATTAAATTCAAAACAATTTGTCAATCTCTTTTGTTCATATTGATAACAAATACATAAATGAATATCATCATAAAAACATGAAAGATTCATTGGTAAATCTCGACAAGGTATATGATAATATTTAATTCGACGAAGAAGATGTAAATTGACAATAGTTTTATTGAATAATTCATTGATATAAGGACAACGATCTGATGATTGTATGATTTTATTTATTGTTCTTGATCGATTGTAAGTTTTATCAACAACAGTAAGATAATAATTATTTTTACCTATTTCAATAAAGACTAGATGAAATGGTTGTGACCATGCAATTGTTAACAAATTTTGTACAAAAGAAATTGTTTGAAAAGTAGTTGTCCTAATAGGTTTATTATCTTCAATAATTTCAATAAAATGAACAAATATTGATTGAGATAAAAGACTTATTTCGAACGAAAGAATTATTTTTAAATCTAATATTTCACATCGATCTCCACTAAAACCTATTGGACAAATACACATAAATCTTGGTTCTTTTATTCGATATTCATCAAAAGGAATACATGTACCACCATGTTGACATTTAGAATCAATATTTGTTTGACAAATTGTACGTTGAAGATAACATCGAGGACCAAATTTATGTATTGGACAAACACATATCGATCGTTGACTAGCAGTGATTCCAATACATAATGAATCAGATGAACATGTACAGTTAAAAGGAATATGACAATACTGTCCAGTCCATCCAGGAGTACATTGACAAAAATCAGAACTATCTTGATTATTGGTATATTTTAGACATTTTCCATGAATACATCGATGATTTGCACAACGTTCAAATTTTGATTCACTTTTTGGAATATCGATAGTGAGCTGCATTGAATAAACAGGTAAAATTTGAGAAAGAATTGGAAATAATAAACTGGCGCGATAAATAAATGAATCTTGTTCGTATATATCAATGTGTATAGAATAGTTGTTCATTTCGTTTTTTGGACGAGTAGAATAAGTATACTTGTTAATAAAATAACTATTACAATCTCGAACAGATAAATAAGTAAACTGTTCAACAGAGTGCACAATTCGCTTATTACTTTGATCAATCAATGAAATAATTATGACAAATAATGTTCTAATAGAATCAGATAATGAACGAAATCGAAGACCAAGAGTAACTCGTTGATTTTGATATTGACATTGATCACCATAATAACTAAGTGGACAGAAACATGTAATAATTGATTGATTGTACTCATTGTCTAACCAAGTGCGTATAGAAAGACCACGATGACATTGAGATTGTTGTTGTATGATTTTTAGATCGTTAGAAACTTTAAATGAATCAGATTCTATGCTTTGCATATTATCAAAACTAATTAAATCTGATGTGCTGCTACTATCTAACGTAAAATATACAATCATCTTTAACACGGTTGGTTCTACACTTTTACATAGAAAATTTTGAATATCTGATATCATTTTTACGGATGATGGTCTAAAATCCAAGTTACAATAGTTTTTAACATTACAAACACGTTCATCATCGTTATAATCACAATCCGTTACACCATTACATAAACGATTAGAAGTCAGATAGACTGCAGAATTTTGACTTTGACAATAAAATCTTGGACGTTGTTCACGATATTCTTGACGAGATGTTCTAAACTCATCCATTGCGCCTAGACAATCAATTACACCATCATTCATTTTTGTTAATGAAATACAGATTAATTTATTATCTTGTGATGAAATGCAAATATGTTCATTTGAAGAACAATTTATTGTTGGTTCTATTCGACAACCAACTTCATCTGCACCATCTAAACAATTCCAAAAATGATTACATCGTGTATAAATATTATTACATTCCCAATGTTCACATTCAGTTTCATCTGTTTCTCTTCGTCCATTAATAAACTTTGGTTTTAAAATTGTATATCCATCACATATAGTTCTAAATGAAATATATTTTCTTACATCTTCCATTTCGAAATTGCCGTCATCTACACAGAACCCACAACCATTAAGCATTGCGAATATGAGATCAGTATCATTAAATTCAGTTAATTGTTCATCATCCTTATGAGGACAATCATATATATAATCATTAATTGATTCTATAGAGATACATTTTGATGAATTAATACATTGATACGCATCTGATTGAGTACAAGAAAAAGAGGTCGTATTTGTAAGTTCTATCGCTTCTAATAATCTACTTAATATAATAGAGAAATATGTGCGATCTAATTTATTCGATGTCGCGAATGTACTATACATATCACCATAACAACTTGCATTATTAAACAATATTTTCAAAGTTATATCAAAATAATCATCATACTTAGACCCATTATAGCATATGTGTGGATAGCGAAATTTACCATTATTGAATAGTATTAAATCACTTTTTAAATAAGCTAAATAAAAATGATCGAAAAAAAACGGTAAATCTGAGATAAAAATCATATCTGGACAGAATTCTTCTATAATTGTAATACATTGATCATTGACACAATAATCATTACAATAAGCTTCAAATGGAATATATCGTTGAAAAATACATTTAAATGCTAACCAACAATTCATTGATAAATCATGATATTTTATAAAAAATCCCATTTGAATTAATTTTGTAAAACGTGTTGGTGAACAAGAACTTGTAAGAAAAATTCTGTCACATATGTGTTCTTCATTTTCGTTAGATGGTACTTTATTATCGAATGTACTGGGAAGACCTGTTATGTGTCCATAAAAATTCTTTTTCCATTGTTCAAATTCTAGTTTCGTACAGTACTTTTCATCGATTCCATCATCAAAACAATCTATTATTCCATCACAAATTTCCGTCCAATCTAAACAAACTAATGATAAACCACGATCACATTGCATATGAATATAACAACTCAAATTAGATGGATTATACTCATGATTTTCATAATAAATCTCCATCATTTCTTGTAGATTTGAGAAGTTTAAATAATCATTTTCAAAATCATATTGACATACTGGTCCAAATCGAGGTAATGTACAATTATAGACAATTTCATTCTCTAATGCTTGTGGAAATGATTGATTTAAATAGGATTGATAACGTTCGATAATATCGATTGGTGTATGCCAATTATATAATTGTTCACTAGAGATATTTTCTTTTGAAAGTTCATTGAAAGTGAACTTGGGAAAAGAATCAACGTTTGAAATGCTAAATTTAGCTGTGAATTCATTCAAACAAAATGTAAGTATGTCGCGATTTGAGTTAATTTCTTCAAAATAATCGGAGAAACGTAAACAATTGTATTGCAATGCTTGATAATCTTCGTTTTCATTAATATCATCTGTATAATAAAGATTGAATTGTAATGTATTCAGAATGTAACGTAGAAGAATGAAATAGAATAAATATCTCATAATGAAGTGTATTAGTTTTATGGTAAAATAATAAACTGAAAACGTTGAATTCACATTGTTATACGGCTCGATGGATTTTTTTCCTCTTAACTTGACTTATTTATTCCGTTTTCTCTGCTAATGAAGTAATTAGCAACAACAATGAAAATTATGCTTCAACATATGTGCGAGTCAATAAAAAAATGTTTTATCTGTTATAGAAGAGACACAATGAGATGAAGTTTCAATATTTCTAATTATAATAATGTAATGCTTTATTATATGCTAAAAGCGAACATCGCTTCTGTAGCAGGAAAAAGAAAACCAATTTCAAATCTCCTTTCGATACATATAATGTAACACTTATGCGTTGTTTATCATAAGGAATAAAAAGGAAATAAAAGGAGGTAGGAGAAAAAGAAACAAAGAGAAAAAATGATTCTGAGAGATTTTTACTAGAATGGATTTTGATTTGATCCAATGGAAACATAAAACATGGTCAAAAAGTGTCAATTTTTGCTGTGTTAGTTGATTACGTATGTTCTTTAGGATTCTTCCTTTTCTAAAAATCTGTTTACGTTGTTTTGCTAACGTTGGGTTTGTGAGATATTCATTTAGGTAAATGGTTGATAATTTATGTTGAAGAAAATCCTAGATTACACTGGGATTTGTTTCTGTTATGATATGTTATATCATGCCATCTATATAGCCCCGTAGTTTCTTTCGTGTTGCCTTTGTTGTCTCTTCCATATATACGTTTGAAAATAAAAGTATAGTTAGTTATGTCCTAACCGACCTTACGAACACACGCGCCTATTCTCTATACATCTTTGGACATAACAGTGGTGACAGCGGTCTATTGAAGAAGAAAATTCTTTTTCTTCTTCTAACCCTCGGCGAGCGCACAACAACGAAGGAATCCTTTTTCTACGGGAAGCTGATTCTGTAACNTGCAACCGATTATAGAATTACCTATGTCGATGGCATAGAATTATGTGCTACATGGGAATTTTAATAATCAGAGAAGAAATTTTTTTTTGAAGATTTTGACCCGCTTCAGCCGGACGTTACCTTTCGGTTACATGTTAATACTCTGTTAAATCTCCGTTATTCTGCCCTCAAATTTAAAATGGGTTATCTCCATCGTATAACTAAAAAAAATATGTACCATAAGAATTTTTTTCTTTACGGGATCTAGGAGCCGGCCGTAAAGGGTTAAATCGAATCTAAATGTGAAAATCAATAAAAAAAAAATTCGATTCATATGAATTAGTAGACAACAATGAAGGAATAAATTATCGAAGGGAACTCTTTTCTTATTGAAAAGATGTTTCTGATTGCGAAAGAATTAAAATATCCATTCAATGTTCACCACATACGATGACATCTATCACATTACATGATCACAATGGATGAATTTTGTTTACGATTATGATGACCACTGGTCATTGACCAAAAATTTTGACCAATCAAAGATTAGCCGATTGTTTATCATTCTTCACGATCGATCGAATCAACAGAATGTTGTTTACTAAATCGAATTCTTGTTTACCAACTATGGATGGATTTGGACAGAAATCTTTATTTATGTTTATTTGGACATTTTTCGGATTGTTTATTTCTTTGTAGTGTATTTATCCATAAGCATACACATCTGTTCTCGCCTAGATCATTTCAATCGTTATCATCAACAGTTCTCATTTCATCTGATCCCGATCGTCATCAACAGTTCTCATTTCGTCTGATCCTTATCGTCACCAACAATTCTCGTTTCGTCTGATCCCGATCATTATCAACCATTCCTGATTCATTCGAACATTATTATGTCGGACTCACATCGTCAACATTTATCAACACACCATCATCGATCATCGTCTCATCATACAGCATCATCATCTCATCATACGGCATCGTCGTCATCTCATCGTGTGACATCATCATCATCTCATCGTCGTGAATCATCTCATCGTTGTGAATCACCTTGTCATTGTGAACCATCTCATCGACCACCATCACATTCACCTTCTCCATCGTCTCGGTCTACTCGTTCATTATACGGTTCGAAACGTACATCAATGCATGTCCACGAACATTATCCATCATTTCACATTTCTTCATCAAGTTATGAACTTCGAATTGTGAACAGAGATACGCTGGCTGAGATTATTGACGAAATGATAATCCATGTGAAGCGAGTGAAACAATATTCGATTAATACGGAATCGGAAATGACAAATAATGAATTATCGTTAATTCAGATCAATTCAATGCCACGTGAATCGAAATCGATAGCGATGTTAATTGAATTGAAAAACTTACCAAGCCAACACTCAACGAAGTATGAAAAGTCTGTGCTTTGGTTCGATTGATTTTCAGGTTGGACAATGAGATTTACGGATGGGGAAACATTCGTAGAGAACTCGAACCGGAATCAGAAATAATTAGTCGACCAATCCTTGCAAAGTTAATCGACATACAACCACATTTCTCAACATGGTATAATGGGGCACGGACCCAGTGCTGGGTCCAGAGCCCGTCGTATCGAATCAACATTACCAAGGATGGAACTAATTAGAACTATGCAACAGCTCAATCAAGATTCTTCCTGTCGTTGTCATTCACCATCACCATACAAATCCAATGAACTATGGTCACTTCAGAACGCACTGAAGTATGCATGTAAATTACATCTCGATAAAACCTATCGATTAAGTCATTGGTCGGCAAGTTTAACGTCCAATCGTTCGAGATTATCGTATACGGACCAAAGGAAAATGGTCAAATACGCGGTACACGATGTTTTGGCCGTAACATTTTTATTACGACCAATTATGGAAAATTGGACATTCAATATGATCGAGACCAGAAACATGAAGGACGTGTTTGTTGCATTTGAATCAATCGAACTTGCCCAATTGCAAACAACGATAAAAAAGAAGAAGAAGAAAAACATCGATGTACAGAAATTATCGAGGATATTCGCAGCCCGTGATTCTGACATCGAATCGATATCGTCCGATGAAGAGGTATATTTACATCAAATTATACGACATGATGCTGAACCAGTCGATGAAAATTATCCACCTACTGCTGATGGAATTAATCAAGTCGCTGCTGATAATGAAGATGATGAAAAAATGGAATTAGAATTAGCAATAACAACAGCTCATGGGATTGGTCATGAATTAATCGGTGATGGTCATGCAGCAGCAAATTATGGTGATGTAGAGGGAACGGTTGACATAGTTCAACTAGTTCCTGATCCGACAGAACAAGAACCACAGCAACGAAGAAAGAAGATTAGATCAACGGAAGCACAGAAGAAACACAACAAGAAANACCGATGTGGCTGAATGACTTGAATCAGTTTATTCATCCACAAGTCTGACGCGAGATCATATTATATATAAGAATGTGATCAATATGTAACTGGATAGAACGAAAGAACTATACAGCAAATAAATTGAAACGACTTCTTATTTTATATAAGAACGAGTCAAACGAAGTAACTGAATACCATGTATGTGATTCGATATACCGATTTTTTGTATAGATTCGATTAACATAAGAATGATATAAGTTCTCTTTCTCGATGTTAACATTATATATAAACGTGGTGATTTCTTTTAAATGTTGTTTAAGATACATTGTACATGATTCTTCAGTGTAATATCGTTGTTTGTTGCAGTTTGAAGTGAATGTTTAAGTAGTCCTATTGCATAATCTTTAATTTTTAGGATGTTGCTGATCTTGTGGATGTATCTGACAGATGTATAGGTCAGTGTCCAAAGTGGGATTCGGGCCAATCTGAGATCCTCCTGAGCCAATGTGAGTCCAATTTTTCGATCCAAGATTCGCCTAGGCCGAGTGCAGCTCTGATTGCTTTATTCTGCATGATTTGTAAACGTTCCCATACTTTTTGATCAGCAGAAAGGAGCATAGGATGTTCATAAATGATGACTGTGCGTACAATTGATTTGAAAACATTTATCATCGTCTTGTTATAGGGTTCACATGCTGTTGTCGAAAGATATTTAAGTACACCTATCCGAGGAGCAATCTTGCTTTCGATATGTTCGAGATGTGTTCGCCATTTTAATCTTTTATCTAGAATTACACACAAGTAACGTGTGAAATCCAGTGGTTTGATGATGGTGTTTTCAACTTTAACTTTCACTGGATTCTTATATTGTTTTCTTGGATGTATGCTGACGTATATCAGCTCTGTCTTAGTTGGTTGCCATTTTAATTTCCATGACTTGCACCAATTCTCGAATGCATCTATGGATTGTTGTAATCTGCTTGTAAGATTTGTTAAGGTATTGCCAGATGTCCATAATGCAGTGTCGTCGACGAATAATCCATGTTCTGCATGAGTTGGTGTTCCATTCATCGAATCTACCGTATAGATGATATAAAGTAATGGTGATAATGGAGATCCTTATGATGTACCACTCTTCAGATTGAATGAACGTGATAATATATTTTCGATTTCAATTGTAGAAGTTCTGTTTTTTAAGAAAGAGATCAAATAATTGATGATGAATCGGGAGAAGACGTAGATCATTAAGTTTGTATACAGTGACGGAGCCAGGAAGCGGCCAGGAGGGCCTCAGCTCCCCCAATGAGCTGCTGAGTCGCCCCCCTAAAAAAAGATTCTGAAAATCCGGTTTCTCGACGATCCCGCGAACCCTGAAGAGGAGTACGGCTTTTTTTGCTTTATAGTTCGGGTTTTTCGGGAAGTTTTCTGCAGTGACATTTGGGTTTTATGTAAAAAAAAATGTTTTCAAAATTGATTCGGAAATTAGGGGGCTGAGCCCCCCCCCCCCCCCTAGGTCAAAATCCTGGCTCCCGACTGTTTTCAAGTCCTAGGACTTTTGTAGGTGGTAGAAAGAATAAATAAATAAACAAAAGACACGATATATATGTATATTTAACTTGGGCGTATGCGACTGATCACGACCAAGTCAACTAGACGAAATGAAAATGAAAATTATCTTATTTATTTACTGTATTGATCGATATTGATGATCATAAAAAGCTTTTATTTTATCAGTTATCATTTAGTACATCACAAACTTTGTGAATTAAAACGTGAAAGGTGGGAAGAAAAGTCTGAGTGCATGGAACATCCTCTCTCTTATATCCCTGATTTCTTCTATTCACATCTTTCCTACTTAAAAAACGATAATTAAAAGAATAGAAATCTAACAGAAGCTGTGGATGTAGTTTACAATACATATAAAAAAATTTTAAGTTCAAGACAGTTTTTGAAAATGAGAGTTTTTCAGCATTGAACAGTGTATCATTGATATAATCCATTTCTAAAATAGAATAAACACATTTTTATCAAGTCTAATTTTGAAATTATAATTATTCTCGTTTAACAGTAGTACGTGTGCGATCCATCGGAAATATTCAACCTACATTTTTTCACATATGGCTTGGTGTGAAACCAACTGAAGAAAAAGAAAATGATAATAAAACGAGCATCTACGTTTCAGCGTATGATGGCGACCTGGAATCCTTGGATAATGATCCTGAATTACAATGCGAAATATACATTCGTAACGTCGACCTTGAAAGAATGATAATTTTAGTTGTTAGTGAGAGAATGGGTTCATATATAATTGAAAGAGCTCATTCTTATTCTCAAGTTAAGGCTATTTTTATTGTATGTAGTTTGGAATCCAAAAAGACTTTGATAGAAAATTGGTCAAATTTTGTAAAGGTGAGCCCAAAGAATTATCACATGCGATGCTTTATAAGATGCTTTTCTAATAGGTGAAAATAGCAACATCGCTAGAAGTAGTTAGTCGAATTAATATGTTCGAATCTCGTTGGATTTGCAATAGTTTTGAACAATTCCATTTTGATTTATTCAATACAAAAAGTGGACCTGGATTCACCACTACAAAAATAAACGGGAAATTTCTTACGTCTCAGAATTTAATTCATATACTCGTTTGTCTAAAACCATCAATTAGAGATAAAGATGAATTCATCGATCAATGCATAAAAGCGTTGAAAAAAGATAATACAAATTTATCAAAAGATATTCAAGACTTTCGAAATAATTATACATCCAACGATGCGTTGACATATTATACAAAACCTACTTTCTTCTTTAAATTATTAAATCACGGTTTACGAACATGTGCTATTGAGCTACTCTTTCTTTACCGTTTTTTCGTGCGTGATATATTCGATCGGTTAGAGGAAAATCAGTGTCAACATTCAATTCGCGTTTACCGTGGACAAAAGATACAGAAGACAGAAAGACAACAACTCGAACAATCTATTGGGGAGCTAATATCTGTTACTTCATTTTTGTCAACATCACTCAATCGAAAAGTAGCCATTCAATATCTTGGTGATACAAAAATTCAACCAAACGAAACTAATGAGCAACAGATGAAAAACAACAGTGAAGAATACATCCTTTTAGAAATAGACGCTGATCCAAAATGTCGAAACACACCATTTGCTGTTATCGAAGAAAATGCTGCAATATCTGAGGAACAGGAAGTTCTTTTCGGCGCTGGTTCGATATTTCGTCTGAAAAGCATTCGCCTTGAAAAACAAAATCATGGATATCATCCTATTTGGATACTCGAAATGGAATTAAGTAATGGAAATGAACATGAATTAAAGGATCTCATTTATCGCTTTCGTTATAGTTATGCAAACGAAGAAAGAACTGAATTATCTCTCAGTTCATTGGGTTTAATGCTTTGTAGTATACAAAGAATCAGATTCGCATCAAAATTATTTCAACGCATTCTACGCGATCCTTCATTGCTTAATACAGTTGAACAAGCTCGTTGTCAAAGAATTATGGGTCATATTTCAAGCGCTCAACATCATTATTGGCAAAGCTTACGTTGGTACAGAAGATCGCTTACAACGTACACATTAATTAATTCTAAGAATTCTTATTCCAAAGATATTGCATCGGTGTACGATGCAATTGGCAATGTTTATTTAGTCAGAAAACAATATAGACAAGCCCATATATCATATCAACAGTCCCTGTCTCTGTGGCAACTGTTTTACGACAAAAATCAAGACCAAGAAGAAATAGCATACTGCTTCTTACGTCAAGCAGATGTTTATTTAGCTGAAAGTCATCTCGAAGAAGCAAGTGAACTGGTTAGAAAAGGATTATATATGCTTTATCGGTGTCATTGGAGTAATACGATTCACGCTGATCTAGTTTTTGCTCATTCTAAACTTGGTGATGTTCTAGTGTCATTGAAATTGTTTGATCTTGCTGTTGATCATTATATTGAATCATTGATCGTTTCTCGAAAAATTTTCTCTGAAGACGATAGTTTTCTGTTCTCAATATATAGTGATCTACAAATAGTTTGTGAAAAAGCAGACAGAAACTTTGACCAATTATTAGTGGACAACGGTATTCCAGTTATTGAAGATCAAATTCATGTTGATCATTTCAGAAACAATAATGGCACGCCGTATCAAATGATTTTTAAATGTCCTCGATGTAAAAAATGGCAGTGGATTTTCACTGTCTTTCGGCCGATAAAGCGATGGGTATGCACTGGGTGTTGGAAAAAACGTTGTCCACGTCTTATGTCTTATTTTTGGGTATTAACGTAACCGCAAAGACATTGTTGGCTTTCTAATACTATTTTATAAAAGTCTTGTCCAATGAGATGCGTTTTGAGTTAAATTCCTTAAGATGTTCTGTGAAAATACTTGAATTTCTCTTTTGCACAGCTACTCTTATAGAAAAGATAGTCGAAGTTCAAAACTCATACTCGAAATACTAATATATAACTTTGTATAAATGTAATTTATTCTTTTGATTGAAACTTTACAAGTAACAAAAAGAGAAAATTATAAATATTTAATCTTGGGTGTGGGTGAGGGTGGGGGTGGGGGTGGGGGTGTGTGAGAGCGTGATAATTTTTTTGTCTCGAAAACTACTACGGCATTCGATAGAAAATGAAACTCGGCATCCAAAACAACCATTTAAAGCACCAATACAGATACTCAAATGAATATTGGCGAAAAACACTTGAATATCGTGCCAACTTTACGTACGTAATTCAGCGGATTTAAATAGACTAGCTGGCGTAGTTTTTTGCGCTGATTACGAATCTGGCTATAGTTTTTGGAGAAAATCAGTTTTTTCAGCAAAAATTAGGTTTACAACTTTTGAAAAATCATATTTTCAATAATTTAAACACAAATGTTTTTTTATAAATTGCCGAAAGACACACCACTTGATGCAGAATTGCTTTATCTACAAAATGATCTATGTGGTTTTAGCTTTCGTAGCTAAGAACAGGCTGTAAATTGTGGGATGTGTTCTAGTTTGGGATCCCATTTATAAGCTCCCGTCTCAATGTAATAATCTCATATTCGGATAGGAAATTTAATATACCGAAGCAACTAACACTTGTAAAAATGAATAAACTCTGACAATGTTCAGTATCCGAAAAAAGATGAACAAATATTTGTGTCATAGCGTTACGTTCGTTTATTGCATTTTTTCGAGAGTATACAACGTTAGAAGAAAACTCTTTTAATCGTTAGTAAGCTCATTCAAAGCTCGACAAAACCTGCATTTTGCTAATTTATTTGCATACAGTCCTACTTAGAAATTTAGGCTTAATTAAGAGTACCGAAGAAAAAAGGACCTTTTCTGTCACTGCGTTACGCGCCCTCAAAATCTTTGTACAGACTCGAGACTTTTACTAAAATTGCTCATCTTCATAGCACGACCAGAGTAAAACGAACTGCATCGGATGACGTTTGAACTGGCTTTCTATCTATTATGATTCATGAGATAATTGAAAAGCAGTATGTAAAAAATGTCACAACGTTAAGTTTGGACAAGCCGTACAGACGTCCTTAGTTTTATATCACCCGACTCTTTCTGTTATCCTGCATTAAAGTACGATTTTAGAAAGTTTATTTTATTTTTTGTTCAATAAACAGGACACAACTAGTTAAATAACCACTCCGGTTTAAAAGAAAAATAGTAAGGATATAGAATCATTGCCAAGAAAATGCGAGCAAATAGCTTGAATCTTCATATGTCAAATATTTCGTGTTCAAAATTGTAGTAAAATTTTTGTGGGATTTCCATGTTCAACACTTTGCACTAAAAACTGACATCCTGCGGAGAAAAGTACTTCTTTCTCATGTCTTTTATTTTCTGCTAATGGCGATATGTCAGATCTACGACTTTTTGGCTTCACACTTGTTGTCATTCGAATCGTGTATAATATCTGATATCTTCGACAAGCCATAAATTTTTTCGATACGTTGATATCTTTTGACGTTGACGTAAATCCCGGCCATCTCATATAAGTTCCAACTAATTTCTGGCATTCATCAATCAGTTTTCTCCAATCACCTTCACTATCAAGACAGACACCTCGATAAACCGTATCACATGCTTTACCACTATCTGATATTGGAACTTGTGGAGAAAAAAAAAGTAGATAATGTTGTAGAAGAAAACAGATTGGACCTAATGTCTGGACTTTCTCCATCATTTGGTATCTTAAAACAAAATTTATCGAATAGCAAAGAAATGTTTCTCGAGTGTATAGTGTAACAACACATTCCAAAATATCTCTTTCTGACGAATGTTGAACTCTTCGAAGGGCGGCAGCAATTTCTTCTGGTGAAAGCTCGTCATGTTGAAGTTTTCCTTTGAGAGGTGCAGCTTCTTCTAAAATGCCTAAAATAACAATATACTGAAAAAGAACTGAGTTGCTGACCCAAAGAAAAGTAAGGACTCTGCGGAGATATAAAAGTGATTATTTAGAAGACGCGTTTAGCAGTTTTTTTTGTTATAGTTGATATCAGCGGCTTCTTTTTTTGCAAGTTTTTAAAACTAGATAAGATACTCTTTTGTAAGCGGTGATCAGCGAAATGTGTAAGAATACTGCTAGAAAATCTCAGTGGACATCAACTCATTATAAGATTTAGAATATGTCGAAGCTATCCGATAAAAAACTTTATCAATGGCACCGTTTCATACTAACCCTCTCTATAGTGACAATTTATGATTCTGCCGACTTCACCATGTTTTTTCTTACAATATGTCCCTAAGGTACGTGGTCTATAGAAACAAACGATACGTCACCTGTAGAAATACCGTTTCACAATAATCCCGACTATTTTTAGCATTTTTTATTAAAAAGCAAGGATCAGGAATGTTAGCATGTGTTTAAAAGCCGAGAATTCTAGATTTTACATATAGGGAAAAAGAATTCATGAAATCCTCGCGTCGGCGAAGCTACGCAGGTGTGGAGAGTGCGTACTCACCTCCCCTCCAGAATTAAGGTAGAGCATATATAGCCAAATTTTTCCAAAAAGATTTTAAAATTCGAAAATAGCCTCGGACGGACTGATTTTTTTTCTAAACTTAAACCACCTCGGATGGCCTATAAAAAATCGGCGCTGCCCTTCTCAAAATCCTAGATCCATCACTGGATAATCGGACTGAAGCTTTTAAATAACTCGGAATAAATTGATTCGGAAATATTCTCAACAAACTGTAAACCAGATGCAAAATAGGACTTGCGACGAGCTTTCTATTCCACCTATAATCTTGCCGTTTTCTACCTCACCTTCGATAGCTTTATGAATAATTTCAGAATAATTTAACACCGGATTTATTCTTCTCCATTCGTTAATAAATTTGCTCACATAATCCGAGTCATCATCAGCTCCTCCAGAGGATCTTGGTGGTTCAGCACTATTATAACGATCTGCTCGTGGACTTCTCCCATCGGTAATTGCGGAGATATATGACGCAAGAAGGTTGGCAGCGTTGATTCCGCCGAAGGGCATGAATGTGGCAGCGGCAGCGCCAAGGAGAAATTGGTACATTTTCTGATACAGTTATTTCAAAATGTAAAAATTGTGATGTTTTCGATTGTTTTGTGCTGGTTTGTTTTAGGTAACTGAGCTTTCTTTTCGTCGTTTTATACTATTCGAAGCAGAAGAAAATTCAGAGTGAAGAATGGTTATATTTATTGTGCATCATGGTTTCTTCCAGTTGTCTTGGGTTTTCCCCCTTTCGCTTGTCATTGCGTGCAGAATTTTTTATTTATAACGAGAAGGGAGAAAATAGAATTTTGTTCTTTCCTTTCAATAGCGAAACTCTCACATGATCCATATTGTTATTTATTTCCACTAGTCATCCATTTCATTCTTTTCTCCTAACGTCATTGGATATTTACCAATCATCATCATCATGTCCCATAGGCTTATCGCCCGTTGGGGCCAACCATTTTACGGGATCAGATTTTTCCACGCTTGTCGGTCTTGTGCAAGATGGAACAGCTCCTGCCCACTGCGCTGACACCACTCTGTTATGTCATCTAGTCACTCTACAGATGTGGCCAAATAACCGGAGTTTTCTCTTCTTGATGGTGTCTATTATAGTCTCTTCCCTAGATATCCTCTTTCGGATATCTTCGCTTCGTATCATATCTTGCCAATTTATTTTTAGAATGCGTCGGTAACATTTCATCTCAAATACCAATAGTTTTTTCCTGTCTGCCTCCTTTAGAGTCCAAGTCTCTGATGCG